CTTAAAAATGTAGTTTATTATAAATTAATAAAATAATTATATTTGCATTAATTAATATTAATTAAGCTGGATTTATTATAATATAATTAAAATTTAATTAATTAAACCCTTTTTTATCTTTTTTATAAGTTTTTATATTATATTTAATTTTATTATAATTATTATAGGGTTTTTTAATTAATTTATTATAGATTAACTCTTTTATCTTATTATTTATTTTATTAGCTAACCGCTTTATTTTTTATTTTTCTTAAATAAAAGCTTAAGATTTCTTAATTATAAGTGCTTTTTTAAGCTATATTTAAATTCTTTTAGCTCTTTAATATTTAATAAATGCTATATTAATATTTTAAAGCATATAAATTTATTTGCTTATTATAATAAATAAGTACGCTATTATTTATATATTTTTTATTAATTAATTAATAGTCTTTATAATTAATATAGGGAAGCTTTTTTAATAAGTAAAAATCTTGCTTTTAATAAAACTTAATTATTAAATAATTTATTAAGCATTTAATAATATTTAAAACTTTTATTTTTAAAAAGAAATAAGGAAGGATTGTATTAAAGTTTGTAAGTAAATATTAAGCTTAGAAATTATAAAATTAAGATCTTAAGGAAAAATTTTAGCTTTTTTAAATATAAACTTAATATTTTTTATTATAAAAGTTTTATTATAAGTTATTTTAAATATAAAAAAGAACTTAAATTTAATAATATAATTAATAAAGGCTTAAATAAAAAGGTTAATTTTATTATTATATATATATTTTAAAGATAAATATAATATAATATTTAATAGCTAAAATAAATAAAATAAATATAGTAGTATATTAATAATAATAATTTTATTATCCTTATAATATTAATTAAACTTAATTAATATATAGCTTTTATAGCTATTTATAATTAATATTTAATAATTAATATTTTTCTTTAACTTAATATACTTATTAAAGTATTAAATTTATTTTAAATTAATTTTATTATTTATTTATTTATTAAAAATAAACTTAATAACTTAATTATTTAAAAAACCTAACTTTATTATTTAGTTAGCAAAGTAATAAATACCTTAAATAATTATAAATAATAAAATTTATAACTTATTTATATTAATATATTTAATAATAATTGCTTATTTTTAATTATTAAGCTAAATTAATTTAATTTTTTTTATATTTATTAATATATATAATAATTATTAATAAGGTAATTATGCTTATTATAAAGTTAATTTTATTAAAGTTATAAAGATTATTATTAATAATTTAATACTTAGTTATTATATTATAAAGTAATTTAAATTAATTTTTAATAATTTTTAAATTTTTATAAAAAGCTTTTTAATAATTATAAAAATAATTAAATTTAATTTTAAGGCTAAGTTATTAATTTATAAAGTATTAAGCTTAATACTTATTAATAAGTTTAGCATTTTATAATATTAATAAAAGGTTAGCTATATCTTTTATATTAAAAAATTATAAGGGGAATCTTTAAATATTTTAATTAATAATATATTAAATAAGTATTTATTTTTTAATTTAATTAAGTTTATATATATTAATATATAATTCTTTATAAAAGCATTATTAATTTATCTTATAATAAAATATAGTTTTAAAAATATTAAAGATTTATATAACTTTATATAATTTAAGAAGTTTAATGCATTTTTCTTAAAAGTTTTTAATTACTTAAATAATTAAAAGTATTTTATTTTCTTTAAAAAGTTTTAGCATTATAATTATTAATTTTTAATGCATTAAATATTTAAATAAATAAATAAATAGAAAATTAATGTAAAAAGCATTAATGCAATTCCCATTAAAAAATAATCCCTTTATTAAAACTTAATTACTTTTATTTAAGCTATAATTATTTATATTACTTTAAATTAAGTAAATTAATTAAAAATAAAGATTTAATTATAATTAGCATTAATTAATATTAAATTTAATTAAATTATTTATATTAAATAAATATTAAAGTTAATTAAAATTAGCAAAAGTTATAAAAGTGCGTTATTTATTAATAAATTATATTATATAATTAAAAGCTTTTTTTTAAGGCTTTAATTATATTTAAATATTATAATTTATATTTTTTTAAACTATTTTTATATAAATTATTTAAAAATTAATTTATAATATTTAATTATATTTAAAGCTTATTTAATAATATTTTAAATATTATTTTTTTAAATTATAAAATAAATTTAATAAAATTATATATAATTATTTAAATATAATAAAAAATATATTTTAATATTATTATTAATTAATTTTATTAATTTATAATATTAATATTTAATTTTATTTTAATTTATTTAATATTATTTTATTATTTTAATAATAAAATTATATTTATATATTTTATAAAATTTATAATATATTATAAAGTAAATAAATTTTAATTTTTTATATTTAAATTATAAAATTTTTATAATAAAACTTTATTTATAAACTTTTTTTAATTTATTATATTTTAATAATAAAAAAATATTATATTTTTAATATTATTATTTAAAATTATTTTTAAATTATAATTTAATTAAAAATTATAAATATTTTAATATTATTAATTATATATATATTAAGAAAAATAATTTTAATAATTAAATATTAAATAATTATAAATATATTTTTTAAATATTAATATTTTTTATAAAACATTAATTATTATTATATTTATTATTATTATTTTATTATTATATTTATTATTATATTTATTATTATTAATAATTTTTAATTATAAATTTTAAAGTTTTAATTTTATAATATTATTTTATTTTTATTAAAATTAAAAATAATATATAAATAATTAATAAATATATAATTTATTTAATTAATTAAAATTTTATAAAAATATTACTTAATAAGCTTTATATTAATAATATTTTTATAAAGTTTAAATTAAAAAAACTCCTTATAAATAAAATTTTTAAAATTATATATAAATATATAAAAAATATTTAAATTTATATATTTTATATATAATTATATTTAATTTTATAAAAAATATATTATTATATAATATAAATAAAAATATAATTAATATATTTATAAATATAATTTTAACTTTATATATAATATATTTTTAATTATATTATTTTTTAAAATAATTTTTCCTTTATATAAAAATAAGCTTTAATATTTATTTTTTATTAAAAATAATTAATTTATTTTATAAAATATTAAATATAAAAACATTATTTTAAATTTTTCTTTATAAAATAAACTTAAATATATTTTTTAATATTTATTATTTATAAAAAAAATTAAAAAACTTTTTTAAAAGTTTATATAATATTATTTAATAAATATTAATATAAAATTTAACTTTAAGTTTTAAATTTTTAATTTTTTAATTATTTTATATATAAAAAGCTTTATTTTATATAAAAAAGATTTATTAAAATAAATAAATAAAATAAAATAAAAATAAACTCTTTTTATATATATTTTTATATATATTTTTATTTTTTAAAAAATAACTATTATAAATTTTAAAAAAGTTATTTATATAATATTTATTATTTTAAATTTAATTTAAAAAAATTAAAAATTATAATTATTTAAATTATTAATAAAAAAAAATTTAATTTTATTATATTTTAAAAAAATAATTTTATTATTTTATTTTTTATTTACTTTAATATAAATATTTTAATTTAAATTTTATTTAAAAATTTAAAAATACTAATTTTAAAATTTAAAATTATTTTTATATTATAAATTTATTAATTAATAAAAAATATTATAAAAACTTTATTATTTAATTTTTTTTATTTTATAAATATTATATAATTTTTTAATTTAATTTTTTTTAACTTTAATTTTAAAAACTTAATTTAAAATTAAAAAATATTTAATATTTATTATTATAAATATAAAATAAATTTAAATAATAATAATTTTATTAATTATAATAATTATTAAATACTTTAATAATAATAAAATCTTAATAATTTAAATAAAAAAATAATTATAAAAATTTAAATTTTAATAAATTTTAATATTTTAAAATATAATAAGTAATATTAAGCTTATAATTTAATAAATATATTAATTTATTATTTATTATATATAAACTTTATATAAATTTATTATAAATTCCTTGCGGGGTATTTATGGTAAATTCGCTATTAATTAAAAGCTATAAATGGCCGATGAATTCACCGTGAATTCACTGGGAATGCGCTATGGATAGTTCCTTTCAACAATAGTGACACCCCAGGATGCGGTCGTGTTGTCGTATGTGGTCGCAGCGTCATTGAAACTTGAAGCGATTTGCTAAGGCAAGTATACTTGCTTGCTGGTGGAGAGGGAAAAAAAAAAAAAAAAAGTAGAGCTTTTGGGTGAGGGCTATGCTTTTTGTAGTAATGGTGCCATTTTATTTGGGAGTTAAGCTAGTTGTAAAGCCCTTAGCATGCTTGTTAAAGTTGAATTTAAGGGAGCTGCTGGTTATAATAGCGTAATAATAAAACTTGTTAATAATAAAGGTTAGGTTAAAGTTAAGTAAATAGAGATTAATATAAGTTATAATGCTATTAATATAGCTGTTTAAGGAATTATAAGTAGTAATTATAGCGTTGGCAATCTTAAATATCTTTTAAGGAGGCGGGAAGTAGCTTATAATAACCTTGGTAATTAAAGAAGTAAGGTAGTTAACTTGCTGCTAAACATGATAGAAAGCAAGAGCATTGGTAATAATATTATTATAAACATTATTATAACGTTGGGCCTGGCTTATGGCCTTACGTTTGCCATTAAAGCATCCCTTAAAGTAGGTGTAGATCTTAGTGTTAGAAGCTAAACCGTTAGCCCTTGGCTATTGAGGAAGAATGGGTTGTATTAATGTGCAGAGGAGGAGAAACTCCCCACTTTGGTTGCTAAGAAAATGGCTCCTTAAAAACACCCCTCTCTAACCTTAAAACGCTCCTTCCCGTACCACATTATCTCCTTCCCAACTAAGGCTGTCTCTCCCTGCGCCTAGTAAGAGAACATTATGATATTGTCCCAGTTGATAGAGCCGTTCTTGCTCAGCACGGCCTTATTAAGGTTGTTTTTAAAACCATTATGGCCGTAGTCGGTGGATCCAGAAATAGCTTCGTAGGAAAGTCTGCCGGTAGGGTCGCTGGTGCCTTCGGAGTAGTCACCGCCACCGCCGATGTAGAACTGATTCTCGTAGGCATCGGGTGCCGGGAAGCTGTACTATAGGAGGACCGAGTCGTCCTTGCCAGTGTGGGTGTACTGGACAGTGACATTGCAGTATAAAGAGCTGGTGTCACGCTTGGCCATACCGCTCGGTCCGCTTGTGCTGGCCGACGCGTTGGCAACGGCAGCAGTAATAGAGGAGGGTATTAAGTTAACATTGAGGATGGTGCCGTTGGCTGGAAGCGCCGCCTGCACGTTTGCCACGGAGCAAACGTCGGTGAGGGACGATATCGTAACGAGTGTTGTCGAGATGAACCTGAGGGGGAAGGAAGCTGTTGGTAGGTCTCTCGTACGTACGATAATCATATGGGAAGCAATCGTGTATTGGTATTGTTCTGTCTAAGTTCTGAAAGGCTACGTACCCCGGAGGGGATAACTAAAGTAGCCTTTTAAATGCAAGGGTTATACTTACCAACACTTATAGTTTTTTTCTTCTTTTAATAAGTGTATATAATTCTTATTATAATTAACCTTAAAATTATAATTTATTGCATATTAAGTATATATAACCTTTATTATAAAAAAGCATTGCTAAAAAGGCTTAAAATTATAACTTATAAGTTTTAAAGCAAGTTTTAGCAACCTTTACCATTATATTACCCTTTAAGCTTATAATTATCATTATTACATTACCTTTTAAACTTATAACTATTATTATTATACCATTTTTTAAATATTATATTTATTATCCTTAATACTTAGCTTTTAAGATTACTTCTTTATGGAAATTATTAACTTTTATGCAGGAGCCTTAATTTTAAATCTTTTCTTTATAAGGAAAGTTAATGCTTATAAAGCTAATGCTAAACCTTTTAACTTATATTTATTTTTATTATATATTTTTATAATATAAATATTATTATTTTTATTCTTACTTTTATTATTAAAATATACTTAATATTGCTTTAAATTATTTTCTTTTAGCTACTTTTTATTTTTTTAAAATTAAGTATTATAAGCAGTTTAATTATTTATTAAATTCTTTTCTTACTTTTTATTATTCTTTTTAATTTCCTTAATAATTATTTTTTACTTAAATTGCTTAAATAATAGCGTATATTTCTTAATAAGTTCCTTTATATATAAGCTTTATATATACTTATTAATAATTTAATATAAAAAGTTTTAAAGTTAAGTTAGCATAGCAATTTAATCCTTTAATAACTAAATCTTTTTAATTTAATATATATAAAAAATACTTAAGATTAAAACTTTTATTAAATTATTTATTATAAAGATTATAATAATTTAGTATTTAAGATAATAGTTACTTTAATAGTTTTTATTATTAAGGATGCTATATAATTTTATATTAAGAGTTTTAATGCTTTTAATATAAATGCATAGCTTTTTAATTATATTATTAAAAAATATTTACTTATTTTAATATTAAAAGTTATTAATAATTTAAATAATAATTATTATAATAATATTATTTAAGAAAAGTATTTTAGCTTAAGCTATAGCTATAATCTTTAGCTTATTAATTTTAATAATTTCTTGGAAGTTTATTTTAATAAATAGCTTGCTTTTTTTAATACTTAATATAAAAGTAAAGTTAAAAGTAATTTTTATAATCTTTATTAAGATTTTATTAGCTTAATTTTAATTATTTTTATTATTAATAATAATTAAATTGCCATTAATATTAAGTAAATAAGAATTATTATTATTAACTTTCTTATTAATATTTATTAAATAAGTAAATAAATAAAAATCATTATTATTAATATCTTTATTAATATTTATTAAATAAGCATTATTAGTAATAACTTTATTATAAAAATTAATAAGATTAATAAGCTTATCTTTATCTTTATTAATTAAGGTAATTTTAGCTTTTTTTATAGCCTTAATAATAATTTTAATCTTTATTTTATTACTTAATGGAAATGTAATTATAATGTTTATTTTATTAATTAAGATTATAATTATAATATTTATTTTATTAATTAAGGTTATAATTGCAAAGCTTATTTTATTAATTAAGGTTATAATTATAATATTTATAAGGGAATCTTAATTTTAATTAAGGATTACAATAGGGCTACCTTTAATATTAATTATATTAATAATAGTTATAATAATAATTATATTAAGTATATTCTTAATATAAGAAGTAAATATAATGTTTGCTAAATGATTTTGCTTATTATTATTATCCTTATAAGGTATATTAATAAAAGTATTAAATAATTCTTATAAATTATTATTAATATTTTTTATTATAATAAAAAGAAAAAGATTTTATAAGAATTTAATAATTAAAATAAATATTTATAATGCAAAACTTTGTAATTATTATATAATAATTATTAATTTATTTTTTAATTATAAGAAGAGTTAATAAGTTATAAATAAATTTAATAAAAATTAATTTTAATATTATTACTAATAAATAGTAATAAAAAGTAATAATAATAATAAGGTTAACTTTAAAATAATAATTATTAATAATATTAATAATTATAAGGTTATTTTTATATATAATAAGGTATTAAGAAGATTTTAATTAAAATATAAAAAGTTAAAGTTTATATTAAGGATTTAAGTTTAGGAAGTATAAGGTTTTATAGTTAATGGTAGCAAGGTTAAAAGAAAAAGGTATTAATAATAAGTTGCTTCTTTTTTAGCAAAAAAGGGTTACTTTAGGTTTTTTAATTAATCTATTTACTTATATATAAAGCTTATTATTATTAATAAGCTTTTATAATATAGTATTTAAAGTTAATTTTATTATTATATTAATAAAGTTATCTTTCCTATTTATTTACTTTATTTTAGTAATCTTTTTTATTTTATATAACTTTTATAATAATATAATATTAATTATAAAGTACTTTTCTTTTATTATTTCTAGCTTTATAAGGTATTTATATAAGCTATATAAGTTTATATAAATAATTAAAGGTATATTTAATAATAAGAGTTGTTTTATAGCTATTTTAATTATTATAATTAAGGAGATTTTAATATTTACTTTATTTATTATGCTATAAATTTTGCTTATTAATATGCTTTAAGTAATATATTTATACTTTATTAATAATTAATGGAAAATATTGCTTATTATTATAAATTTCTTAATTTCTTTATAAGTTTTATTTATAAAGATAATAATATATTTAAGTTAAAATATTAAGTTTTAATTATTTATAAATAATTTATTTATAAATATAAAAAGTTTTATTATTTTAAGATTAAAGGGTATATATTTAATTCCTTATATAGCGTTATTTATTTATTATAATAATTATATATTTAAGCTCTTATAATTTCTTATCTTTAAGTTTTATACTTATGCAGCTATTAAAAGATTATATAAAGCTTTTAATTAGTAAATTAAAGCTATATATGCTTTGCAAGCTTTTTATTTAAGGTATTTTTAAAAAGCATCTTTAATTATTATATTAATAAGAGTAAGTTTATTAGCCTATCCCTTTTATTAAGTAATAATTAAGTTAATAATATTTATAATTATACAAGCCTTATTATAATTTATTAAGTTTTTAAGCATTAATTCTTATTTTAGTTTTCCTTATAATTTTATAGCTTTTATCTTAATCTCCTTATTTTAAAATTTTAATATAAATAAAATTAATATATTATTTATTTATATGCTTATTATTTTAAAGGGTTATATAAGCTTTATAATTATTAAGCAAGAATTATATATAAAGCAATTTATCTTAAGCTTTTATTAATAATATCTTTAATATATATTAAACTAATAAACGCTAAATTTTATTATATTATATAAGAGTTAAATAATATAAATAATTATGCTTAAAGAGTATTTATTCTTTAATTCCTTTAATAGCTTTATAAAGATTATTTTATATAATTTTAACTTTATTTAAAGGTAAGCTTAAGTAATATTTTAAAGTATAAAAATTATGCCTTTTTTTTAAATTAATAAAAAAATAAATATAAGAATTATTTATTAACTTATTTTTTAAATAATTAAGCTTTATATTAAAATTAATTCCTTTTTATTATTATTATAACCTTAAATAATAAATTAAGATTTCTTATAAGGTTTTATGATTTTGCTTTTTACCTTTTATATTATATAAAACTTAAAGAAATAATATTTATTATATTACTTTGCTAATTATTTCTTAATTTAAAAAATACCTTTAATAATAAGATTATTAATTTTTATTTTATTAAACTTTTTAAATAATAAGCTTAATATTATAATAATTTTATTTTATCTTAATTTAATTACTAAGTTATAATTTTCATTTTATTTTTTTAAGATATATAATATAATAATATAGTTTTTTATCTTTAATAATAATAATTACATAATAAGTTGCATTTAAAGTTTTATAATTAAGTTTTTTGCTTATAAGGGTTGCATTTCCTTATTATTATTTTAATAATATAATTAAATAATTATTAACTTAAACGTTGCAGCTTTATTTAATATATTTAAGATTATGTTATGGTTATTTATAGTAATAACCTTATATAAACCCTTTTATCTCTTTCTTTCTCTTTATATATAAACTTTGCATTATAATAAATATTTTATATTAAAAATAGGTTTAACCTTAATGTTTAATATATTTTATACTTATTATTTAGCTATAGTTTTTTATAGCATCTTTATAGCCTTTAAAATAGCTTTTGCTTGCTTTTATATTAATAATAATAATAGTAATTTATATAATACTTATAAATAAGCATTAAAAATTAAAAGCATAGAAATTAATTTATTTAATTTAACAATATTATTAATAGCTTTTATAGCTATTTATAAAATAATATTATTATTTATGCTATTATGCAATTTAATATATAAAATTTTATATACTTATTTAAGGGCTTAATAATATTTCTTAACTTTTTTAATAAATTAATATACCTTTATAAGGATTTATTTATATTTAATTTCCATTATTTATGCCTTTAAATAAAATTTTAAGGATACAAAGTTTATTTCTGCATTATATTTAATAATATTTAATAGTCCTTAATATATGTTAATTTAAAGTATTTATAGTATTTATTATATAATTTTTATAAATATAAATTTTAAAAATTTCGCTCTTTAAAAAGCAATGGCTTAGTTTATAACGTAAAAAACTAAGCGTTTACTTAAATATATTATATTAATTAAGATTTTATAATTAAATTCATAATTATTATATAATATAAACTTAAAATGCTTAAATGCGGATTTATTTATTTAATAATAATAATATATCTTCTTAATCTTTATTATTACTTATTTATTAATATTTAAATTACCGGCTTTTTTAAGCATTTAGCATAATTAATTTATTAATGGGTATTTA